ACAGATGAAAATGAATCCCTTTTATCTAATGTCTTCTGGTGTATATTACATGTTTGAGCTCATTAAAAGTAAAAATAGTTATACTTTATAATGCTGGTAGTGACAATCAGTCACCGTAAGAGTGAATCTTTTTTTAACGTTCCTGCCGGAGTTGCGCATAATGATCATTATGTGGAAATTGCTGGCCTAGAAACAAAAAAGGAAACCTTAATTTCAAGGCTTTAGAGCAGCTTGGTGTAGATAATTCATCTTCAAAACATCCATGGGGTTAATAATGCTTCCTTTACTTTTTCAAAAAAAAAAAAAAACCTCCTGCTCAGAAACATCCAAGCCCTCGCCCCTGTAATCGTCAACTCCCTCCGTCCCCTGATGTGAAATTATGATGCATCTGTCAGTACTTGTGTAAAGCGTCTTCATGTTAATCGCCTAATCCATTTATCTCAAGTCCGGACCGATTCAGAGCAGAAATTCAACCAAACAAAACTGAGGTTTTAGGAGGATGAGCACAACTGCGTCCTCCACCAGCTTAAGCCAGGAAGGGGAAATGTTACTCTGCGGGGCGACAGCTGATCGGGAGAAAGAACCCTGGGGGTGGAAAGGGCAAGCCTTCAACCACGAGTCTGAGTAGGGTCTCGCCCCCTGGTGTACGGAGGGGCCAAGCGGCTCAGCAGGTCCCTCAGGCCAGAAGGGCAAGGGCGCGTTCCCCCCACCGATGGTTTCCAATCTCCTTCTGTCAGCCACTGTTGTGGTTACCCCATGGCTTGAGGCCTCATACTTGGAGGATGATAAATGACTGCTGAAGAAGACGTGTGTCTCTGGAGGTTTGGCGCTCTAATATTGCACTGGTGGCAGTCGTGATGTTAGACCGAGCTGCCTCAGTAGACATGGTACGATATTTCACATGCAGGAGGAGAACAAACCCACAGCACTTTGTTCTTATCTTATCTGCCTCTGTGCCACCACTACCAGATAAAACTAGAGATAACTGCAAGAAAAACTAGGGAAATTTCATTTCCTGCAAAAATGCTGTGTGATTGCTTATTGCTGAAGAACTTGCTTGAAAACAACGAAAATTAACTAAAACATGATGAAATGTAGCTGAAATGGAAGAACAAGTCTAAGTTAGCAGAAGAAAGCAGAAAGAACACATATTTGCTGACGTAGGTTTAAATAAGTAAGAAATGGGCACAGAAATTATGCTATTAGCTAAAAAAGCTGAAATTAACAAAACATAGCTGAAAAGTAGCTGAAAATGCAGAAAGAAGCTTAAACTACCAGAAGGAAGTGAAAGGAGTTGAAATAAGCAAATAAAAAAAGTGGAATTAGCTGAAAAAGCTAAGTTTAGTACAAAACAGCTAAATAGTAGCTGAAATAGCAGCAAAAGCTGAAACTAGCAGGAAAAAGGCTGAAAGGAGTAAATAATCTGAAACTATTGGAAAGAAGTTACTTAAGCTAAAATTAGCAGAAATTACCACAAAAACTTGAATTTATATGAAAACAGCTGAAATTAGCTAAAAAAAAAAAAAGCTGAAAGTAGCTGAAAAGGTAGAACAAGGTAGCAGAAGAAAGAAGTCTTATCGAGGTCATGTGACCAGAAGTCAAATAGTGCCGATAAAATGTGGTAAATATTCATTAAATTAGTACCATTGATTTTTTTATTGGTAAACACTTTTTTTTAACAGCTGCTGTTTTTAAATGTACTTCTTAAATAAATTTGACGTGATTCTTCTCAGCAGAGCTCATATGAGGAGGAGGAGGATGGAACAGGGAACAGTCCCCCCCCGCCCTGCTGTCCCCTCCATTCTGTGCATAGCCTAAATGAGATACTGGTATTTAAACACATATTTACCTTACACAGAACTATATAGAAACAGGTCTGTGCATGATGCGCAAAATACGATAAACAAAAC